AGGGGGGGGGAACTTTTAATGCTACTCGTACTATTACTACTACTACCATAAGATAAGTTCCTGTTTGAACAACAGCCTTGCATCAGCATCCTCATTCATCTGGGAGTTTTTTCACCATGTGGGCCTAGTGCTATTAATGAGTAGGTGTTTTTGTTTTTGTTTAACATTTTTGTTTTTCTTTTCGCTGTCGTGTGGAACATCTGCACCTATCCCTCACTGAGGTACATAATATAGTGCGGTCAAAAATTCGTTGCGCAACTTATTGTCAAATAGTTCCTAAACTATCAAACATAGACTCCATTTTTTGCACAATGGTTCGTATCAAATTTGTCTTAGCTGATCAATAGTTTTATGAAAAAAAAAACGCCAAAAATAATCAAGCCTCAATTATTGTGAAAAAAATAGGATTACGTTAAGACAAAATGATAACAACTGCTGTGCAACGTGTTGGGGACATTGATTCACTCGTTAAAGAGGCATATGAGGATAAGTTGCGCACGAATTGCTGACCGCACTTTAGTAATCGGGAGCTTGCGGGGTCGGGGGTTCGAGTCGCCGGCCCGACGTTGTGTTCTTGGGAAAGTCACTTTACACGAATTTGCCTCACTTCATCCATGTGGAAATGGGAACCCGGCCAGAGACCGCGAAAAATCTTGTCAGTATGTTAGTGTTTTGGCGCTTATAAAAGGCTGCTTGAACTGTATGCTTCCCAGGAAGTTGAGTTTGTTTCAGAGTGCTCTCAGGTCTGCTGGGGCAATAGTATAGATTGTGAAACGCATAGAGCCTGCTGTTGAGCGGGGATTTGCGCTATACAAATGCTATCTTTTGTCTATTATGATTAGTTCTGTGACAGTTCACCTATAGCTTCTTAATTCTTTGTATTCATCCAGCAATTTTGCTCTCACTTTTAAAGCACGCTTCACACGTACTTGACATATATGAAGCACAAATAAAATGTGAGGCAGCGTGCTGGAATCAGGCTCTCGTCAAAATAATCAAAGTGAAGAAATTTCCCTTTTTCCGCTGATTTGTGAATGTTTATCAATTTTAAAAAAACATTTTTTTTTAAATTTTT